CCTGGGGTCCTGGGATCGAGCCCCATGTCGGGCTCCCTGCTCCGCAGGAGGCCTGCTTCTCCCTCTCCCACTCCCCCTGCTTGTGTTCCCTCTCTCACTGTGTCTCTGTCAAATAAATAAATAAAATCTTAAAAAAAAAATTGCTGGGGGAGATTAAAGAAGACAATATTCATGGCTTGGAAGACTTCATATTGTTAAGATGGCCTTTCTCACCAAACTGATCTATAGATTTGATACGCTCCCTATCAAAACCCCATTGGCTTCTTCTTCTTTTTTAAAGAAATGGAAAAGCCACTAGGCGCCTGGGTGGCTCAATCGTTAAGCGTCTGCCTTCGGCTCGGGTCGTGATCCCGGGATCCTGGGATCGAGCCCCGCATCGGGCTCCCTGCTCGGCCGGGAGCCTGCTTCTCCCTCTCCCACTCCCCCTGCTTGTGTTCCCTCTCTCGCTGTGTCTCTCTCTCTCTGTCAAATAAATAAATAAAATCTTAAAAAAAAAAAAAGAAATGGAAAAGTGAATCCTAAATTCATATGGAAGTGTATGTAAGGAGCCACAATTAACTAAAATGATCTTGAAAAAGAAAAACAAAGTTGTAGGACTCACAGCTCCTGATTTCAAAACTTACTACAAAGCTACAGGAATCAAAACAGTATGGTACTGGCATAAGGTTAGACATAATAGATCAATGGAATAGAGTTTAAAATTCAGATATCAACCCGTACATTTAAAATCAATAGATTTTTTAAAAGATTTTTATTTATTTATTTGACACAGAGAGAAAGAATGTGAGTGCACAAGCAGGGGGAGGGGCAGAGGGAGAAGCAGACTCCCCGCTGAGCAGGGAGCCCGATGCGGGGCTCAATTCCAGGACCCTGAGATCATGACCTGAGCCGAAGGCAGACGCTTAACGACTGAGCCACCCAGGCGCCCCAAAATCAATTGATTTTCAACAAGGGTGTCAAGAGTATTCAACGAGAGAAGAGTTTCTTCCACACAGTGTTGGGACAACTCAGTATCCACGTGCAAAACAATGAAGTCGAATCTTACCTCACACTACATACAAAAAATAACTCAAAATGGATCAAAAACCTAAATATAGGAGCAAATCTTCATGACCTTGAATTTGGCAATGTTTCTTAAACATAACACCAAAAGCACAAACAAAACAAGTGATAATTGGATTTCATAAAATTAAAATCTTTTGTGCATCAAAGGACACTACCAAGGGAGTGAAAAGAAAACTCACAGAATGGGAGAAGATATTTACAAATCACATATCTGATAAGCGTCTATTATTCAGGTGGCCTGGGTGGCTCAGTCCCTTAAGCATAGAGGGGCCCCAGCGCCTCAGAGGCGGGCTCAGGAGGGGAGAGGCGCGAGGGTGGAGGCCAGGACGATGTGGAGGCCACCCCAAGCCTCAGACTCCTTGGTGGAGGCGGGCTGCAGGCAGAGCTGGATCTCAGCCTCCGGGTGCCCTTCATTTGAACCTCCCGAGGCTTGGAGAGGCCTGAGCCTGCATGTGGGCTTGGGATGGACAGGAGGTGGAGATGCAGACCGACCGGAGGGAAAAAGGCGGGCAGCCGCGTTACTCCTGCTTAATCAATATGGGATTAAGTCAGAAACCAGTACTAATGAAATCCTTAAACAGAAATTATTAATCTAGTAAATGAAGTTATAAAATAGTAGTTCTTGTGTTAAACTTTACATTCAGTTTATTTTATTTTTTTAATATTTTATTTGACAGAGAGACACAGCGAGAGAGGGGACACAAGCAGGGGGAGTGGGAGAGGGAGAAGCAGGCTTCCCGCCGAGCAGGGAGCCCGATGGGAGACTCGATCCCAGGATCCTGGGATCATGACCCGAGCCGAAGGCAGACGCTTAATGACTGAGCCACCCAGGCGCCCCTTTGCATTCATTTTAAAAAGATTTTATTTTTTTTAAGTTTACTTTATTCGTTTAAGTAATCTTTACACCCAATGTGGGGTTCGAACTCACGACCCCAAGATCAAGAATCGAATGCCCTACCGGCTGAGCCAGCCAGGTGCCCCAAACTTTACATTCATTTAAAAATAATTAGTAGACTTTTCTTAAAGAGCAGTTTTAGGTTTACAGAAAAACTGAGCGGCAAATACAGACAAGAGGCATACAGACCCAGCCTCCCTTATTCCCACCGCTCGCCCAGCGTCTCCGAGGCTCCGGGTCGCCTCCCCCTCGCCCGGCCTCCGCCCTCGCGCATCTCCCCTCCCGAGCCCGCCTCTGCGCCTAGAGCGGAAAGGGCCCTGCGGATGGTTTCGCCCAGCCCGGCCCCCGCAGCGCCTCCGAAGAGCCTGCGGGCAAGGCTCGGAGGCTTTGCACATGCTGTTCCGGCCGCAAGCTCGCCCGGAGGTCCCTCCGCCCCCGGGGGCCCCCCCCATCCCCGCCGGCCCACGCGTCGGTGCCCCGGGCGCAGCCCTCCCCTCCCTCCCAGCCAGCCAAGGGGCGCCGACGCGGCGGTGGGGGCGGGCGGCCAGCCGGGGCGACAGCTGGGTGGGCGGCTCTGACCTTCCGGTTCGATCGATGCCCCGCTCCCGGGCGCTATAAAGGGGCCGCGCGGGGCTCAGGCGGCGGCAGCGGCGCTCAGCTCCCCCGGCGCGCCC